GACAGTCTGTGTCGTCCTTCTGGTCCAGAAGATGACGCTAAAATGGTCCAGTTGACTGTAGACAAAGCAGAACGTCAGTTGAACATCAGGCTAAAATACAGAAAGACCTAAATCTGAACATAACACCATAGAACACCATAGAACAGATTCAGGATTGTTCCCTAAACCCTGTTGTGTTGTGATGTCATCTGTTGCCGTCCTCAGTGCTGCTGACGTGGGTGAACTGCCACAGTGTGCGATGGGCCACTTGTGTTCAAGATGTCTTCACTGCAGGGAAGCTCTTGGCCCTGGGCCTCATCATTGTCATGGGTGTGGTCCAGATTTGCAAAGGTAACATTTTTGTTCTGGTCCAGAGTAAAAGGAGACATTTTAAATCCCACCCCCCTCCATTTTAGTACAACCATCATTACTGAACCATCTCTTTTTTTCTTCCTCTTCACCTCTGTTCTTATTTCTAAAAGTGGAGATAAGCTCCTTAAAGACGATGTTTGTGAAAAGTCTTCACTGCAGTTTTCTTTAGTGTCTGATTCAAACAAAAATATTTCAGTTATAAACATCATCTTAACATTATTCTGGTGAATGTATTTTTCTTCATTAACATATCAGTTGTTTTATTGGCATTAAAATTCCCTCACACTCATGGGATACATCTTTTTCACAGGTCTGGTTATTTAAAAAAAAAAAAAAAATTGGATGGTGTTTGGTGCCCTCTACTGCTCATATTGCGGTCGTGTAAACCACTTCTCTTTAAATTCTTTGTTTTCTTTCTTTTGTATTTACAGGTCACTATGACTGGTTGGAACCAAAACACGCCTTTGAGACGTTCCGTGACTACGACGTGGGACTGATCGCCCTGTCCTTCCTGCAGGGATCCTTCGCTTATGGAGGCTGGAACTTCCTCAACTACGTCACCGAGGAGTTGGTGGATCCTCACAGGTGACGTCATGAAAGCTGTGATTCATACGTTTGTGGATATTTTAAAGCCCAACAATAACGAAAGTCAACCCTAAAGTAGCACAAGATCTAAAAACTACAGAATATTATTTTTCCATCCTCAGGAACCTCCCTCGTGCCATCTTCATCTCCATCCCTGTGGTCACCTTCGTGTTCGTCTTCGCCAACGTGGCCTACATCACAGCCATGAGCCCACAGGAGCTGCTGGCCTCGAACGCTGTCGCTGTGGTGAGTGGAAGCTAAAACCGAAGCAGCTGCTCTGCTGACCATGATTTCTGTCATCATTTTACATTCAATTTGAACTTTCATCAAGTCAGAGGAATTACGAATGTGACAAAGTTTGTCTTCATCCTTTTTTTTTTGTCTCCCAGACATTTGGAGAGAAATTGTTGGGAGTCATGTCATGGATCATGCCCATCTCTGTGGCTCTCTCCACCTTTGGGGGAGTCAACGGCTCTCTCTTTACGTCATCACGGTCAGTTAAAACGGCACGTACTCCACCTAGTGGCCATCTGTCGTTTTTCCACACTTGGTGTTAGATTTACAGGCATGCTGGGTTACAAGAAAGATGTCTTTATTACATTAACATTTAATATTGAGACACATGTCACATCTCATTTTAATCCAAAATTAAAGAATATTTGAAAGGAGCTCTAAAAACACTCAACAGCTTGTGGCACAAAAGTTCTACAGAGAAGGAAAACTCTGAACAAGTTACACAACTTCCATTTGGTCACATGATCTTGGCTCAAGATGTCCGTCCAAGGACTGGATTAATTTGAAGTAGGCGTTCGGACTGAGGCCTCATTAGGAGCTGCGATTTTTTAGAAACACTTTTTCTCCTGTCGTGGTCCATCCCCCCCCTCAGCTGTTGGGCTCTGCACTGGTGTTTCTGTGTTTCCTCAAACTTCCTTCTCAGCTGGTGAGTCCACCACACCATGTGAGCGCCATCTGGCTGCACCCTCGGGACTTAATTGTCTGTGACTCTGCGTCCCAGGCTGTTTTTCGTAGGAGCACGAGAAGGTCATCTCCCACGTGTGCTGGGTATGATCCACATGGAACGCTGCACGCCCATCCCTGCACTGATCTTCACGGTGAGTCCTGAACATTTACCTCTGATTTTAAAGAAAAAAACCAAAACAACAACAACCAAACCAAATGAAAGTGTGTCTGTTCCCAGTTGGTCACCTCTCTGCTGATGCTGTGCACCAGTGACATCTACACCATGATAAACTACGTGGGCTTCATCAACTACCTCTTCTATGGCATCACTGTCGCCGGGCAGATTGTCCTGCGCATCAAACAGCCCGACATGCACCGACCCATCAAGGTACCGGCACAGATGGAGTAACTGGGTGCTGACAGCCTCTTTTGCAGAATGGAGTGATACGTCAGCCGCGGGAAGTTTTAATTAGGTCTAGAACAGAGCCTTTTATTAGAAACATCTGTTCTGTCCTGTCAGTCTGCCAATAATGTGGCTGCAGCTTCACTCACTGTTCCTGTGAAACATCAAAAATGTACAACGACCTGGGGCTCATCCACGGGAAATCCTGTTTTTCTGGTATATTCACACAGCAGTACTTGATGTGCTGTTATCAAAATGTCGTCCACCGGGGTCTAGTAGTTCAGGCCCAGTTTTATCGTACTGTTTGTCATGTCGGTCTATTTACCTTTAATTTTTAAATAATGCTAATTGGTTTTATTTGCAACTCTCCCACGCCGTCCTCCAGGTGAGCCTCGTGTGGCCAGTGTTCTACCTGCTCTTCTGGGCCTTTCTGCTGATCTTCTCTGTCTACTCTGAGCCCGTGGTCTGTGGTGTCGGACTGGCCATCACCATGACTGGGGTCCCTGTCTATTTCTTTGGAGTCTACTGGGAAAAGAAGCCTCAGTGGTTAGATACCGCTCTCGGTAAGATGACAACGATGTTTTTGGTTCCTATCCTTATTCTGTGTGTATTTCTGTGTCTTAAACAACAGTTTTGTCTAAATATAACTCATTTTCTGATTATTTTTTTCCTCCTCCCCCCCCCCAACTCTGTCAAGGCAAAATGACTCACCTGTTCCAAAAGCTGTGTTGGATGGTCGACCCAGGCTCAGGGGGAAACTGAAGTAGCCCTAACAAAAAGGACATGTGGAAAGTGATGCACAGACTCTTACTTACAGCACTGGACGTGGACGTTTGGACACCAACTTGTTGGTGATTGGCTGGGCTCCATTCAGCACTGTTTGTTTACACACTGTACAGAAACTGATTGTCACTGAGATGTTATTGTTTTCCCTGCAGCATTTAAACCACGCATACTTGTTAATATATCAGTCTTGGAAGCAGCTGGAAAAGGAAAGAAAATTAAAATATTTTTATATGTTTTCATAAAATGATTAAATCAAAGTATTTGTCCTCCATGTTTTTATTGCACCGGTAGCGCCATCCAACACCTGAGAAGTAGAGCTGCTGGTGTTCTGCTGCAGCTCATTAATCTTTTATCCACCTGTTGCTTCACCTGACTGATAACGGGTGGAGCACACGCACAGTCGGGATCAAATTGCGGAAGTCGTGGAAAAGAGTGACGGCTGTAGGGGGTAAAGACGTCACAGGACCAAATGTAAGGCAAGAAAGAGATTGATGTTGCCTTCAAAATAAAAGTCAATCGCGCTACGTTTATTTACCGTGATACAAATCAGGAGTTGATTAGGAAATTATTAATTTATTATTATAACTATTATAATTAAAGCTACCTGGAGTGTAGGTCCCTTAGTGCTAGACTGAGGTTGTGCAACCCCAAGTTGTAATAATTTAATTCGGTTAAATAAAATGCGTAGTATTCAACTATGTAAAGTCAAATCATTTTAAGTTGTATTTTGCGATCACTAGATTGTGTTTACTTTAATATACACTCATTTGAATTATATTTAAAATGTAAACTTCAAACATTACGATCAAATTAGTTTTTTATGAGAAGAGCACAATGTTCTAAAGGTTCACATTATTCACATTATTTTTGATAGTTTTTCGCAGTTTCAGATGATATTTGTGTTATGGTGGCAACACTGTTTTAATTAAGTTAATAGAATTTATCTACCAATTTAACGTGAGATAATTGCTTTATTTCGAAGGCCTTGACAGGAAGTCGTATGGATGTCACATAAACTTGACGCTTCATATTTGTAACTCCAGTGACGGGGGTTTCAGCCAACAGACTGCAGTCGTGTGTTGGAGGGGGGTTCGGTTGAACCGGTGTATTTTTGTGTAAAACTGTCCTCTCTCTGTACTCTGTACAGGTAAGTTCATGTTTATTTCAGTAATATAGACCATAAACCGCCGTTTAATGACTGGCAGCCAAGCTAATTTAGCGGCTAGCGCCGTGTCCGGGCCGCCTGTGTGTCGGAGCGGGTTTGACAGCATCTGCAGACTCACTCTGTGGTTTAGCCTCGTTACACTGACGGCATCACGGTGACAGTGGGAGGGTCCGAGGAACTCCGAAGTTTACTCTGGGTTAGAACTCTATATCACGTCCGTTTAATAAGTTCACAGATGACTGACAGAGACTCACTGTGAGGAGAAGAGCTGTGAAGACAGAGACTCACTGTGAGGAGAAGAGCCAGTGTTTGAACTGTGTTTGCTTTGAACAACAACAAACAGCTACCTGTCCGCAGAAATAGCAGCCATTGTTTTTTTTTACATTCCTGACGTGGTTCCAAACTTGTGTTAAGTGACACGGGAAAACTACGGAAGTCGATAAAGGACAAATGGACAAATCTAATCATTTAAGTGTTTACCAGGAATCCAGGGATTAAGATCGAATTCCCGTCTTTAAAAAAAAATGTAAACAATGTTTGATTACAAGTAAGAATTCCTTTAATCTGATTTTGTTTTGGGATAAAAACGTTTTTCCACCTTTGAGATTTAGAGATTGCGCAAACATTGTCCCAAATAATCTAATTTCTGGAACTTTGAAAGAAAAAAATAAGCCTTTTAACTCTCCTAATTTATTTAACAATTATTTAGCATTTTATTTCTATTAGATTTTTTTTATATAATACTCCCTGCAGTATCTAATGTATTACAAATGACTTGTTACTGTTCAGTGGTACTTCAGAACCACATCCACCTTGTAGAGAACTCTGCTTTGCACCATTACAGCTATGTCTCCGTCAATACCCCTGCAAGAGATGATCCGGGCCATCAGGTCTGCCCGGACCCAGTGTGAGGAGCGGGGAGTCATCCAGAGGGAGTGTGCGGCCATCAGAGCACAGTTCAGACAGTCTGACAACGGGTCACGGTCACACAACTTGGCCAAACTGCTCTACGTGCACATGTTGGGTTACCCAGCCCACTTTGGTCAGGTGGGAGGATTTTCACTAATGCCTGTCATGGGTTCTGTTCAAGCTGTGGCTGAATTACACTATTTGTTGTTTCCTGAGCACTGATCAGGCTTTCAACAGGAGGCCCACAAACCCTGGAGGTACTCTAAAAGTACTGCGGAGGGTCCTGGAATCTTTCGATGATTTGATATTTTCTAAAGGGTTTTTCCACAATATTTTTCTCATCAAATTCTCTAAATACAAATTGCCCCGAATCCAGGAACATAATCTGTGCATTAAACAACACTTTAAATTACACAGAAAAGTATCTAATAGCCAGGAGGGTGATATTTCAACCAGTAATTATTATGGTTCAGTTTACAAGTTCTTTCACCCTCGATGACACCCTGAGGCTTCAGTCTGTAGACTCCCTAGACTAGAGCTGTAAGATCAGTGAACTGATCCAAGACTGAGTCACAACTAAATTCTTTGATTATGTCAGGAGTGTGTCTGACTGGTGAAAGTGGGTCAGTGCTGCTCTGCTCCAGCTCTGGAGCCGAGCCCGTCTCCATCAGGGATGCCTTCAGATTGGCAGAACTGTTAGTGTCTGTGATAAAACTTGAGGGTGATACAAGTTCTCGCTCTTCCTGCTAGATGGAGTGCGTCCGGATGATCGCCAGCTCTCGTTACAGCGAGAAGCGCGTGGGGTATCTGGGAGCGATGATGCTGCTGGACGAGAAGCAGGACGCCAGTCTGCTCATCACCAACTCCATCAAGAAGTGAGCACAGTCCAAAGTGAAAGTCTTGACGGGATGCTCTGAGTTTTGTTGGTTTGGTGGTTTTAACACGTGCTGATGTACGAGCCGAGGGTCTCAACGCAAGGTCATGTCAGTGTTCATCACCAGACTTTTATGTTTTTATGTCCAGTCTTGACAGCTTTGATTAGCTGTTGTTTTGTTTTGTTTTAAATCTTTTTACCTATTCTGCTCTTATTCAACTCATTTTATCTGTCCTGACTTCAAAAAACCTTCTTGGAATCATTTTTTTTCTAGAACTAAACCTAAGATTAAATTTGAGACTGAATATTTTTGGACTTGTTGTACTTAAACCTAAGATTAAATTTGAGACTGAACATTTTGGGACTCGTTGTACTTGTTAACACACATTTCTCTCTCTCTCTCTCTCTCTGTCTTCCAGTGACCTGTCTCACAGTAATCAGTACGTACAGTCTCTGGCCTTGTGCACACTGGCCTGTATGGGCTCAGCTGAGATGTGCAGAGATCTGGCCCCAGAGATTGACAGACTGCTCCGGGCCTCCAACTCCTACATCAAGAAGAAGGTGAAGACTGTAGAACCGTATCAGTGTTGTAGCCTCAGATCAAGACCCTAGATCAGGTTTTCTTAGTTTAAATCAGTAGCTGATGATGAGCAGTCTGTCCTGTGACCTCCTGTTCAGTTTATTCAGGGAGTCTGTAAAGTTGTGGAGCCTAAGACCTGTCCTGTCCTCCCTCTGTCCTCAGGCTGCCCTCTGTGCCGTCCACATTGTCAGAAAAGTCCAGGATCTCGGGGAGCTCTTCGCCCCAGCAGCTCGATCCCTGCTCGCAGAGAAAAACCATGGTTTGTTGACGTTTATGGCTTTGTTTGCATTGTTATAATTTTTAATACTCTCCTCTTGTAAGGCGTCTGTTGACTGTCCTCCTCCTCCTCTTCCTCCTCAGGTGTGTTACATGGTGCCGTGATCCTCATCACTGAGC